GCAAAAAAAAAAATATCAAAAATCGACGGGATTTTGCAGAAACTTGCACTTTTATTAAATGGGCTATAAAACTGCGAACTTATAATCTTTCCAAAAATTCTGAGTTAAAAGTTTGTTGTTGCGAAAACTTACTTTTCGTACTGCGTAGTCACAATAGAATTCAGCGTTTTGTCAACAGCTGCCGCACAATATTTCTCACGGTCCTTATTTTATGGTGATTTCGTTTCTTCCAAGGCATATTCAACAAGGTAGAAGTGACAACTCAGTCGAGCTTTCTCATAGCTGACTGTAATGTTAAAAATGTAAACAAAGAAATTAATCCTTTGTTATGCATTTACCATATTTGATAAAACTCAATGGGCCGTATGCATAAAACTAGGCAATTACTTTTACCTAAAATTTCATACCTTTCACTTAAATCTGTTTGAAAAAATCGAGTAAAAGGTCTGAAATTTTAAGAAACAGCATTTGCTTATGTTGTATGCATACGGCCCAATATCTTTGAAATGAAAGTTTTTAGTTGCTTTCGATAACAAAATTAGCCAACACCAGCCAACAATCAAAATCAAGAGAGTAAGCGAAAATTCTCTCCCAAAGAGATGAAAAAGCAAAAAAGTAAACGAACAGGAAATTAGCCATTACTTGCAAAAACCGGAAGAAGAAGACACACCAGCTGACTTTGTTTATGTTTTATTTGTAAACAAACTGAAATTCATGTTGCCTCCATAGAAGAAAAAAGGAAAGTGAACGTTCAATGTTCGCCAGGAACATTTCTAGAAGTAAAAACTAGTTGGCGCTATCATAAAGTCACATAGCAGGCAGCCAAAAAGCATATAAATACGAAAACTCGGAAAATGCAATTTTGGTTGTTTACAAAAATTGCAACCATATGTTTTGTGATCATATGTTTTCGTGTTGGATAATTTTTGCTGACTAAAATTTTTCCAGTACAAAATGAACGCTTCTCTTACATCAAAATGAACGCTTGCTCTCTCAATTTTTGTGTGTTGGATAATTTTTTGTCGTTATCGAACGCCATCAAGGCACATTAAACAGGTAGTATCAGTAGAGCAAAAACAACATTTGCGTGTATTTTGTTGTTGCTTCTGGTATCGAAAGTGTCAACAACTGTTCTGAATTTTTTCTTCTAAATCAAAGCGTGCCATGTGAAATACAAAAAATTATAAAAAATAAAAAATTGAAATTGGAAAAAATAAAAATTGATGCAACTTTCTTTCCTAGTAAATTTGTTTGCTTCTCGAAGCATTGATCCATCCTTTGCAAGGCCCAGTAATCAGCGGTCGTGCTGCCGAGTTGGGCGAACGTTCCAAAAGCTGCTATTCAATCGCTTGTTTTGTATGGAAAAAGGTTTCACAAGCAAATGGATTTTAACAACTTATAATTTTCGTGAGAAAAAATTAAAATTATTTGACATTTTCGAGACCAAATAATTTGAAAATAAATCAAATCAGCTGCTCTACTGATACTACCTGTTCAATGTACCTTGAACGCCATCCAGTAAAAATTTGGAAAAACTATTACAAATTTTTGACTTGTCGAACGCACCTTTTGTAAATATGAAAAAATTTAAAATCTCATTAGAATCAGCTTCATTTTAGTTATTGCATTTTTGTTTCAATGTAAATGTGGAAATGAATACTTACATAGAGTTACACATTAAATGAAACACACTAATTTATAAAACCGTTTAGGCAATTTTCTTGCTTTTACTAGCCCAATGCTTTTGGGCATTTATTTTTTTATTCAAATACTTAATTCTACAGTATATTACACATTAAAAAATTTATTCCTTCTAAATTTACATCAGAACTTAACTTCGATAATTTAGCTATTAAATTTTTGCAATTCGGAATTTCCTTCCCCTAAATTTATTAAAAATCTTTGTGTCAACTTGGAATTCAGGTTTAGGTTTTATCAGACCACCATTTGAAATTTGGTCTATCCATGTATATGGGTGGCAGATTTTCTCTTCATATTCGGTATGATAAATCCTGCACCTGGGAGCAAACGCGCCCGCTTAGAAATACTCGGCAGCGATGGGCACCAAAAAAAGTCACTGGCACTAAAATGGTTTTCGCGCACACGTGATGAGTTTCCTAATGAAACATCGCAGCAATTTGCGATCGTTGTCGCTTCACTTGACAATGTTTAAAATAACGCACAAGTTTGTTGTCCTGGCTCTTGCCAAACCTAACATACCGCCCGTAATTCCTCCTTTTAATTTTATTATGTATTTAAAATCAGTCGCACAGCTCACAATTGAAAATTTAAATTAAAAAATTTCAAATTTTGAATAGTATAGGGTTAAGAGTCGACATTTTAGTCGCAGTTCAAAAGAGCGAAATGTCGTAATCATGATTGAACTTCTACCTTATTAGTTGCGGTCTCGCACGAGTCCGGACTAGTCAGAAATAGTCAGAATCAGTCAGATTTTACTGGAAACCGATCCCGTACTCGGTTCTCTGACTATTGAGAGGACAAAAAAGAGAGTAAATACGGTTCTCTCTCTGTCAGAAGTTACCAGTTTTAGTCCGAGAATTTTTTGCTGGTAAATTCTGGTAAATGTGTCGAACGATCAGCTGTAGTGTGTTTGGCAACCAAATTGTAAACAAAAGAAAAGTGCACTCTGCTAATTCATGTTGAAAATTATTTAATTACTTGTATAAGTGGATTCTAATGAATGTGAAAGTATTTTTGGTTATTTACATGTGTGAGCTGAGTGTGTTTACATACAAAATAAGCAAAAATTTACAACCAAAATTTGGAGGTTATGTTGAAGTTGACAAAAGTTACCATTTTTTACTAGAAAGCGATCCCGTACTTTTCAATGTTACTCTCTCGCTCTGAGCGAATTTTTATTTTTTGACAGTTTTACTAGTCCGAGTCCGAGGAATACGGGATTGCACCTATTATGCCTTGATTTCTTCCAACCATCTGATTTTCAGGGCAACCATCTCCCCGACACAGCTTCAAAGGGCAGAGAATGTGCCTTTTTGCCTTATAAGAGTGACATTGTAAAAAACGAACATACACTTTTCCCACCCTCTGACTTTAATTTCAAATCTATCACGAAAAAAAGGTGCAATTAAACGGCGACATTTTTTGGTAGAAACGAAATTACCATTAATTTTACAACGCTTTTATCAACTTGCAATGTTGTGTGTCCAAAAACTTTCAATGTTGTGGATCCAGAAACTTTCAATGTTGTGTGTCCGACACCATAAAACCTTTGCTTTGAAAAGTTCCTATAAAAAAGCATAGTGCATAGGGCGACATCTGTAGTGAATAGGGCGAGGTAGATGACATCTAGATGTCGCCCTATGTACTACGTTTGCTACAGCGGAAATAGACGACACGCCATTTCTTTAAATAAAAGGTGCAATCCCGTATTCCTCGGACTCGGACTAGTAAAACTGTCAAAAAAATAAAAATTCGCTCAGAGCGAGAGAGTAACATTGAAAAGTACGGGATCGCTTTCTAGTAAAAAATGGTAACTTCTGTCAACTTCAACATAACCTCCAAATTTTGGTTGTAAATTTTTGCTTATTTTGTATGTAAACACACTCAGTTCACACATGTAAATAACCAAAAATACTTTCAAATTCATTAGAATCCACTTAAACAAGTAATTAAATACTTTTCAACATGAATTAGCAGAGTGCACTTTTCTTTTGTTTACAATTTGGTTGCCAAAAACCTACAGCTGATCGTTTGACACATTTACCAGAATTTACCAGCAAAAAATTCTCGGACTAAAACTGGTAACTTCTGACAGAGAGAGAACCGTATTTACTCTCTTTTTTGTCCTCTCAATAGTCAGAGAACCGAGTACGGGATCGATTTCCAGTAAAATCTGACTGATTCTGACTATTTCTGACTAGTCCGGACTCGTACGGGATCGCAACTAAAATTAATTGGTGCTCGTTTGTATGTACATACATATGTAAATGCATGTGTGTGCACCTTTCTATTAATATCGTTGAATTATTTTAATATCTATTGCAAAATTTTATTCAGACAGGACTAAAAAGTAGAAAATAAATAATATAAAACTTTTTAATATACAACGCTTTTATAAATGGACTAAAAAGTAGA